CTTTGGCAGTCCTTCGGGATGCCACTGGGTGTGAAGCTCCAAGAAGCTAATTAAGCCCTTCAGGATTCACGTAAAAAGCACAACAACCTCAAACAATACGATGGTTATATTAGTTATATTATAGTTATATTATATTCGATCTTATCCAACATACAAGTGGTGCAAAAAGGCCGCTTTCTGCGAGAAAACCTTCACGACTTCGTGGGGGTCTGTTGGAAACTCGGGTCGTTTTTCCCGACAAAACATAGGCTCCGGGCAAACGTCCGGATCTGTGCTAAAGTCAGAAGTTACTGGAAATCTGGATATCTGAGAGGGGTAAACGGTGATAAAAATTATTAAAAGTGATTAAGACACATCAACACCATTCAACACCGGTCAACACCCAACATTTCCTGCTGCAAAACGACTTCGTCCCACGGTCTTATGGTTGCAACATGTTGGAGCAGGGCTCTGCAGCTATGTGTCACGCAGCCAAGGTTCCATTCGGCTGCGGTTGGCTCTGCGGCCGGACTCGCTGCTCCTTAGCATAGGGTGGCCGCCATTTTTTGGGGTTCCAGGGTTCAAGAAAACAGACACCAAAAAAAACACACAAACCTAGGTCGTGGCTGTGCTTGGTTCATTCATTTTGAATGTTTCACCCCATGGAGCCATATCCGGTTGCTGCAAAACTTTGGAGCCAACCCATCAACCTGTCATCATGTCCAGGAAGTGTCTGGGAGTCTCTAAACTTTCAACCAAGTCACTAGCATCGATCGTTACCTCAGCCAATTGTGCCAGAGGAATCCAGATTGATGACTACATTGATGACCCATCCTGCCATCTTATCCAGTCTTGCAGCCTTGCACAGAGTATGCAGCATGCATGTAGGCTTCATATAGTACGCATATGTATATTTCATTTACTATTTCATGTCAATACATTTCTTGTCGTAAAAATGTATACACATATCCTCCATTTTTCAGAGAATATCTCTGATTGGTGGCTTCCCTGATTGCCTAGTCGGGGGTCAGGCAACGAACATCCACCGTGTGACCTGATCAATTCGACGGTCACTTGCTGGTCTCTTCTCCTGCTGTGAAAATAGGCTACCCTAACACCCTAGACACATCATCATGTTCTATCCAAAGTAGATGGGAGAGTTTCAAGGACATCTTCGATTTGTGTACAGTGTATAGACACACACACGCATATATATATATATATACATATCATTTATCTTATCATTATCAATCTGCAAATCAAACGACCAAAGTGTAGTCAATGAAAACAATCAACTGACCATTTGCTTTGATTTGTTTGCATTTGATCTATAAATAGATGGAAATATGCGTTGCTGAAAACCGCTGCGCATGCAGATCAAACCATAATTGTTCAAAAGCTGATGGAAATGGATGTGTCGATCTTAACCTCTTTTTTTGTCGTTTTCATATTGTTTTTGTCGCTAAAGTTGTTGTTTTATGTTTTTTTTTTCAGGAGATGCTGGGAGTAAACCCGTGTATATCTTGCTTGGGGTGTTTCCGTTACCGTAGAAGTGTGACCGGCCAAGATTGGAAGTGCCTGTGGAGTCAGCGGCAAGCCGAGGCTTTCCATGGCCACCTGCAGTTGCTCAGACAGCACCTGGGCGCTTGCGCAGTTCCCAACCGATCAAAGCTGATCAAAGCTGATCAAAGCTGATCGAACTCTCAGAAAATGATCAGGAAATATCGAGTTGTCCACATTTTTTGGGGTTGTCTTTTGATAGCAAGTGGTACAACTTCATGGAAAATCAGCTGGGATGGTCTCCCCACGGGGCAAGGCACTGGATCCAGCTCACTCTGACAGCCAGCGGCTTTCTTTGGCGCTTTTTCCTGCGTTGGGAACATCCCAGGCTGCGGCAGATGCAGTGGAAGATCAGTAAATTTCACCAGCTGTTTGTTACTGAACTTCCACAGCTTCCATTTGGGATCGCCAACGATACACGACAGGTGTTCGTCATTGGTGGGGTATCTGTTTTGCGGGTCCCCAGAGCAAAGAAGCAATGAGACACGCCGCCCGAACCAGGACGAAAACTTTATTCTAGTTGCAAGGCCAAAAAAAAAACTTCCTTTACCCATCCTTCCGACAAAAAATCAGCATGGTTCCGACAAAAAAAATAGTGCAGTTTTGAGAGCGGCAATGGTTTCATCACGGTTTTTAGGCTACAAAATCATAAATGAAATGGAACGAACGCGCAAATTCCACGCAAGAAATCTGTTCGAGCATTTTACAGCGCACAACATGTATCAATGTGTCAAATTTACCCTGATATGTGGAGATGATTTGAAACAGCTCGTTCCATTTCCACAAGGCAAACATTGTAATACATGTTTTTTGCCGTGCAAAGCATGAGTCGGATGTCTAAGCTTCCATTTGCACGGGGCTTGCGTGGGGATGATTTCCAATTTAACGTGAAATCCGTAATGGCATTGTGAACTAATATTCCGATTCATGGCATCATCACAAGCTACAACTCATGTCAGTGGAGTTTTGCATTGTGTTCATTTGCTTTGATTTGTTTGCATTTGATCTATGAATAGATGGAAATATGCGTTGCTGAAAACCGCTGCGCATGAAGATCAAACCATAATTGTTCAAAAGCTGATGGATATGGATTTGTCGATCTTAACCCCTTTTTTTTGTCGTTTTCATGTGTTATTTTGTTTTTTTTGTCGGGGGATGTCGGGAGTAAAGCCATGTATATCTTGCTTGGGGTGTTACGGTTACCGTAGAAGTGTGACCAGCCAAGATTGGAAGTGCCTGCGGAGTCAGCGGCAAGCCGAGGCTTTCCATGGCCACCTGCAGTTGCTCAGACAGCACCTGGGCGTTTGCGCAGTTCCCAACCGATCAAAGCTGATCAAAGCTGATCAAAGCTGATCGAACTCTCAGAAAATGATCAGGAAATATCGAGTTATCCACATTTTTAGGGGTTGTCTTTTGATAGCAAGTGGTACAACTTCATGGAAAATCAGCTGGGATGGTCTCCCCACGGGGCAAGGCACTGGATCCAGTTCACTCTGACAGCCAGCGGCTTTCTTTGGCGCTTTTTCCTGCGTTGGGAACATCCCAGGCTGCGGCAGATGCAGTGGAAGATCAGTAAATTTCACCAGCTGTTTGTTACTGAACTTCCACAGCTTCCATTTGGGATCACCAACGATACACGACAGGTGTTCGTCATTGGTGGGGTATCTGTTTTGCGGGTCCCCAGAGCAAAGAAACAATGAGACACGCCGCCCGAACCAGGACGAAAACTTTATTCTAGTTGCAAGGCCAAAAAAAAAAATCCTTTACCCATCCTTCCGACAAAAAAACAGCATGGTTCCGACAAAAAAAAAATAGTGCAGTTTTGAGAGCGGCAATGGTTTCATCACGGTTTTTAGGCTACAAAATCATAAATGAAATGGAACGAACGCGCAAATTCCACGCAAGAAATCTGTTCGAGCATTTTACAGCGCACAACATGTATCAATGTGTCAAATTTACCCTGATATGTGGAGATGATTTGAAACAGCTCGTTCCATTTCCACAAGGCAAACATTGTAATACATGATTTTTGCCGTGCAAAGCATGAGTCGGATGTCTAAGTTTCCATTTGCACGGGGCTTGCGTGGGGATGCTTTCCAACTTGAGAGGGAAGGGTGAAAGATCGAAAGGTAGGCGTGGGTTGGAACAGGAGAAGAGAGCAAGGGAACGAGGCATATCCGCTGCGGACGGACGTGGGTGGAGTTGGGGCGGATATCGAAAAAAGTCTTCTGGGCTTGGACTCGAGGGCGGGTACCAAAAAGGTAGGTTTCAGGGAGGGGGGACACGACACACACAGACACACAGACATATATATATATAAATACATACATATAGTTAGATATATGTATAAATATCAGGTTATGGGGTTTGCGAGGCAACGTGTAACTGGGGGCAGCACATTGTTGCAACGCGGATGGGGTTGATTCTGGTGTGTACATGTGTAGAACAGTGTGGGATTCACAAACGTGGTGTTTTGACCCCAGCATGTACCCAAAGCAACTGACTTAGGGCTATCCTGGTGCTGGAATCTTGGTGCAAAAAGTGGGCCCGCGGGGTGACTTCTTGCAAACGCGGCTTTAGAGGCGGACCTTGGGGGAATCGAAGGGGGGGGGTTCAATATAGTTGTGATAATTATGTTCTAGTTATTATAGTAATTCTAGTCATTATAGGTGTTCTAGTTATTATACATGATAACTATATATATACGAATATACATATATATGAAACATATTGAAATGTCATTAGCGAAGTCTTTTGGTTGAAGAGAATATCTTGGAGGAACCCTTGCGGAAAATCCACCAAATGATCTAGATATGCTGAGCAAGGGGCAGCGATTATGCTTCGGCAACCACTAGCCAAAGCGCAATATCCCACAATTGCTGGGTAGAGTATGCATATATATATATATACGAATCTATATGTATATTGAGATTATTTAGTATATATATATATATCATGGAATTATTATGTGTATATATATATATATATATAGATACATATCTTTAACTATATTGTCGAAGGAAGTTGAGAAGCTAAACTTCCGACAATATGGACAGATGAAAAGCAGAGCAGGGCAGAGGCAGAGAGAAGAGAAAGTTCAGAAGAGAAAGAGTCAGAAGAAAGAAGATGCAGATGCGCGAAAAGGTAGGAAAAGTCGCGATTCACTGTGTTTTTCCAATGATTTGTGGTTCCGGAGGGTCGAAGAAGAAGAAGGTCTTTGAACAGAAGCCGTGCCGGAGACTCACGACCGCTGCTTCCGGAGGGTCGAAAAGTAGGCTCGCTAAAGCGGCGGGTGCGGAGACATATGGGGAGATGAGACATGAAAAATTGCACGCCGTTGTGGCGCGAAGCACATTTCCAAGTCAAAATGTGCAAAATGCACAAAACACCAGAGGATCGGACCACTTTTGGCGCTTCAGATGTCGAAAAAGTGCACGCCGTTGTGGCGCGAAGCACATGTC